ATCCTTACCTGGATGATAAAATGCAAAATGAAAAAGCAGAGGCTAAGAACAATTTTTTTTTTCTTTTTCAGTCTGAAATATGAAGCCACAGTATTGACTTTTTTCAGATATGCAAGTCAGTGCAGTCTTACAATAGCATAATAGAAGAACCTTGTTTTATCAGTTATTGTTCAAAGACACTTCTTTCAGTCTGAATTTTGTACTGCAAACAAGGCTTAATCACAGGTACATTGCTCAATGTTGCTGTGCAAAGGCTTGAATGATTTATTGAGCCTTACTCTTAAACATGAAACACTGAATGAGGAGATGTCCCTGAAAATAGCACGTGGGAAGGTCAGACTGAAGCATTTCAGCTTCCTTTTATGCCCCCTTCTGTGCATAATGCATAAACAGTTATTTTTAATTATTTTTGGACCACTGGTCATGAGAAAAATAAATTCAATTTGAAACAAGGAAATAGAGCAAGTAAATGCTATCCAGATTTTTGCCTAGAGCTTTATCTTTTGTTATTCTGTTTTCAATTGCATATTCTTTATATCACATCATTTTCCAGCCCATCTTACTCTACAGATTTTTTTGAAAGGGTCACAATATGATTTTCTTTTTTATAGGTACATTCAAGAAGATAACATCATGAAGATATTTGACATCTTTTCAGACCTCTGTAGGAATGGGCATTTTAATAAGACTGCAATTTAAGTAACCCTGTTTTTTTAATTGAATTTGTTCTTTTTTCCAACTTACTGATTTTTCAATGAACAGTAACCAAAACAGTTGAACAATGCATTATTTTCTTGCATAAGCAGTGAAAGATGGACGTTTGCCCAGAGAAAAGCTGAACATCTTTACAACAGTAAGACATCACAGCCCTTTTAGTGTTGGTGACTAATTGCCCTTCTGACAGCAGTTGCCTCTGTTGGCAAGAAGGTTTGTGAGAGCACTCCCTGCTCTGCTCAGGCAAAATTAGCTGTATCTGCTTAAGCAATTTCAATAGGTGTCTTGAATTAGCATGGACTAGAGCGTACCAGGGAGCGTTCATGTAAGCCATGCAGCTGGCGGAGCTGTTGTGGAAGGTGTTTTCAGCCGGCAACAACACACGCAGCCGAGAGCAGTAACATTTCATCCACACCAGTGCAATCCACCAGCCTCCTTGGATTCCAAGCTTGCACCAACACATGCATCCTCTCTCCGTGTACCAGCCCAGAGGAAAACATATGGAGAACAGTGGGGGTCCAAGTGCTTCCTTAGTCACAGGTTGAGACATCTCTGCACACTTGCTTCTAAGGCACTATGTGCTAGAACAGAGGTGGTTTGGGGACTGGGTTTTCTTCTGTTTCTCCAGCTGAGGCTTTTACACTTTGTGTAAATGAGTGTTCACTGTGCCAGTGCTTGGTGAGAGCCAGTGAGTATTGCCAAATGGCAACAGCTTTAAAAGAGAGATTGACCTTCCTGGAGGTTACCATACAATGTTCCAGTCTTCCACAACGGGTGGGAGAGGACCTGACCCTGGGTTCCCCTAACAACCCTATCCCTGGGTTCACAGAGGCTTCCACCTCCAATTCAAGACTCAGTTCAGCAGAAAAGCTTAGAAATGTTTAAAAAGTTAAACATCAGAGGAGTGAAGGTGGGTGAGGTGGGTGAGTTTGACAGTTCCAGCAAAACTTAGGAATGAGCTAGAGCTCTGCATAAACCCGCGATGTCAGAAATACAGGAACCTCCATAAAACTGTGGCAGTTCTGCTAGATAGTGAGGGGTTCTTAACTGGGCAAGATCCTGAGCAATCAAATGTGACTTCAAAATTGGCCCTATTTTGAGCAGGAGGCCTCGACCAGATGATCACCAGGATCCCCTTCCAGCCTAAATTACTCTATGCCTCTGTGATTCTTGTGTATCTAGATGTTAGTTCAGACACTGTGTAGACATAGGTTTATCCCAGTTGGTGTGTTCCAATTCTGCTTGTTTGTGTTTGTGTAATTGTAGTGGTGAATATGGTAACAGTCACAATTGGTAGCAGTCACAAGGAATCTAAATAGATATATTTTTGTGTAATTGAAGCAAGTTGAGAAAATTATTTTAAGACTTCAGTTGTAACGCACAGTGGCGTATAAAACTGAGCAAACTGCTATTACTTTTTGCCATGAGCACTGATATTTCTTTTGGGACAATTCCAGCAAATAAGATAGTTCTTTGGGGTGGGGTGTGGGGTGTTGTGTTACCAAGCTATATCCTCATTCCCTTTACCCCTCCCAAAAATTTGCTGTGATCTCAGTTCGCTACATTTATAAACCAGATCTGCAAAAGTGTCTAGCCACAGTTTTCCCGTAGAAGAAACTAGACTCATCATGGCAGTTACAGAGGGGAAGTTCATGTCCTGTGACTCAGAAAGGAGAAGTTGATAGGGATTTTGTTTTAATTTTCTTGTATTTCATCTTGGCTCTCCTTTGACTTCTCTCTGCACTTAGTAATCTACCTTTTGAGCCTACAGATAGTTCGTAGTCTGAAATTACTGGCATCACAGTGGCTTCACTAGCTAGACTACACTGGTGCTGGAGGGCACCAACCTTGATTCATTGCAGAATTGGGTAGCACTTTGTTCAAAGGAGTTTTTGGGCCAGATTTGTTAGTTACTGTAGGTAGATAGTGCAGCTCTGTTGAAGACTGTTTACCAAGATTGACAGGCTCATATCTTGTGGGAAAAAATGAGTTATTAGGTTTTAAATAGTATTTTTAATATTTTAACAGTTTGTTATTAAACAAAAAGGTTTTAGTGCACGCATCCACACAGACATGCAGTGTGAGAGTTCTCTAATATTTTGATCTGTAATTTGAGATTAACAAAGACTTTTTTGCGTAGACTCTAGCTGTATGGATTTTATTTCTTCAGTGGAGAAGCTATTTTTTGACAACTGTTTATCTGTGAATGGCAGGATATTAACATCTCTTCGATTAAAAAATAAACACTGCCAGGTATCTTAACTTATCCAAGGGCAGATGGAGAGTGTTTGCTGTCTGCTAACAAAGAGGAATTGTGTGAATCCAAATTGTGCCATTAGCTGTTGGCTCTGTGATTGAGAGATGAGATCCGAAACTGGAGGAAGTAAGAAGTTGGCAGCTGTACCTTGGTGGCTGAGTGTCTGCTATTACACTGTTGATGCCGAGTCAGAAATTGAGGCTGTGAAATGTTAATTGGCTTACTAGGAAGCGGGTGAGCATTATGGCTTAGTTGATTAAGACGGTGCAACATTAAAAAGTGTCAGATGGAGAAGTTAGTTAGACAGACAGATCTGTGTTTAATTGTCTAGCCATTACTGTTTCTGAAATGGCAATTCAGCTTCTTTCATAAAATTTTCAATAATTAGTAAGTATAAGTTTTAATTAATGTTCTTTTCAGCCTGCAGCACATGAAATTTATTGTTTCCAAGAAGTCATAGCAACCATTTTATGCTAAACAATTTGTTAAGGAATTTTATACTAATTTCATAAGAACACCTTCACCATTTTAATCAGTATAAGTCACCCAGAACCAAGGGTATATTTCAAATGCATCTATTGATGCAGAGAAGTAATAGTAACTTGAATTTGTTGAAATTAATCCTGTATGTGTTGCTTCTACTTATTTCAACAGGTGACTGAGCTAGAGTGTGTGAGCAGTCAAGCCAATGCAGTCCACACACATAAAACAGAATTAAACCAGACGATACAGGAGTTAGAGTCTACACTGAAGAAAAAAGAAGAGGTATTTGCTAATATTTGTTGTTGGCTTTTCTGTTATGTTATTTCAATATTAAGCTTGTGATAGCTGGTAAATACTGTATTATTTCCTATAGATGTTACAAAGTAAAATTTTTTTCAGCTGCTTGAAATGATTAATATTTTTCCGTGTATGTAATTACGTCAGTTCAATATAGAGCTGGATATCTGAACAACAAAAAAAACTATCATGTGTTCCTGTTGGCTTTTACCAAGCATCTCTGTGTGCAAAAGTAAGTCATAAGTGGTTTCCGCAGAGCGGTCATCACACTGATGCAGTCCAAACTCACTAAGAAGGGAAGCTGTCGTAAGCATGCTTTCCTTTTTCTGGAGAGTAGGGTTTGGAACAAGTAATAGATCAATGCCTTTTTCAGGCCAATCTGTTTTTCAGGCTATGTTAATATAGCTGACTTCTATGATTCCTAAGATCAGCCCTTTCCTTAAATGCATGCCAAGCCCCGGGCCTGAAACTTGATGATATTTATTGTGCCATCTGCCTTGGGCTGGACCAGCAGCAAGAAAATAAAAGGAATTGGAGTAACACCTGCACTAGCACGGGTCCTAGAGGAAAGCAGATTTGTGCCACAGAATGACCAAGAATCGCCCCTTTATGGATAGTAAAAAGGAGGTGGAAGGAGCCGCGTATGAAGGATTATTTGCCCCGTGTAAGACCAGATCCCTTGAGCCCTCCGTGACAGACACAGTGGGCACTGATGTGCATGTTCGGAGGGGCAGCGTGTCTTGCAGGGTCTTGCCTCCAGCAGGGGATTTGTTAGGTGTTTCCAAGGAGGATGCAGAGAGGCACAGTAGTTACAGCATATTCTCCCAAAATGGAACAAAGCCTTTTCCAAACTCCCTCATACTTACGAGATTAGCCTATGAGATTAGGTTGGTCATGTTTCCCATTTTGGTGCCAATTAATTTTTGAATTGTGCCAAGCTCTTGGCTGCAAGGAGATCTTTCCGAAAGGAGTTCTGGGAGGTGAATATGCCCTTCTGGGGAAAAGTACTTAATAGTTTTAATTTTGATACCTTTTAGTTTCATTAACTGTTCTTATTCTTGTCTCCTGAAACTAAACTAAGAAAAGTTTTCTCTTCCGTTCATTATTTTATCTATATTTGTTATTTTTATACTCTATTACTTTCTTCTTGCTAAATTAAAAGTACCATTTTTTGTAGACTCTTTTTACAGAAATCAGTGGTCAAAGCAGGCAATTTTTTGATGCTCAGCCCTGCTGCTAGTGACATAATAAGCAGCTCACAGATGAAAATTGGATTTTTCTCTTGAAAAAATGGGGAGAGATAGATTCTCATAGAATTTAAAGTATAAAATTGTTTCTCTAATTACAAGGACCCTTAATTTTCCAGGAAAAAATTGTTTCAGATCTTTTGTGGGGAGAGGAAAACTTGAGCTTTTATAAAAGAAAATGCTTATCTGTATTGTTGTTTATTCACAATGGAATTGCTGGTTTGGGACTCTGATTTAGGACTATTGAGAGCAGGGCTTCAACTTCATGTGCTGTGATGGGCACTAGCCAACTGCCAGTTTTGGTATCATTGCAACGGCTCGCTCAGGAGAAGAAGCGGTAGCCAGCTTACCTGCACTGAGGCCAAGCCAGGTAACGTGTTGCTAGCAAGGTTGTTTCTTCTCCCTTAGGAAATAGAAGGATTGAAACAAGAAATCGACAATGCCAGAGAGCTCCAGGCACAGAGGGATTCTCTGACCCAGAAGTTACAGGTGAGCTATAGTGCATCATCTTAATTTAGAGAGAAGGGGAAAATAATCATCAAGTGAGCAGTTCACATCAGCAACTTGTGCTATATTCACTGAAAGTGCCAGCTAAATATGTAAGTTAGACTGCATTGCAAAGTGGTGGGTTGGGATGATCCTTAGGAATTTGTATCAAAATTTCCACCTGCTGTAAGTTGCTATTTTTCCCCGAGGGAACAGACCCAAATTTCATTTACAAGTCCACAGAGTACTCTCAGGCTAGCAGATGTCCTTCATCGATACATGTCCTGGGCAGTTCTGGTCTCATTTTCACTGCAGTGTCTTCCCATAGGTCTTGCATGCCACTGAAACTGTCAGGCTGTGTATCATCAAGTTGGGATGAATTTGTATTCAGCTTCTAAACATGCCCTGAGAAAGTAAAGGTTAAAACGTTTGTGTGAAGTACAGACTTTATTATTTAGAATCATTGTGTTTTTACTGGGTTTTCTGGGTTGTTCTTTACTGTGTGTGAAGCCAGATACCTCAGCCTTCTGGAATCAGTGTGCCCTCAGTATACCGTCCCTTGCTACGTCTAAGCTCTTGTCTTTCTGTCGCTGGGCTGACCAGCCAGCACATACCCACCTCCTTTGTGAAACCTGCCTTTGCAATGAGGCTGACCCAAAGCTTAGGTGGGTTAAACTCTGAATTCAACTTCAGAGTTTTGATAGGACTGGAAACTCAGGCACTGAATAGCTCCAAATCCGAAGTGCTGAAAGGTGACCCTCGCTGTGGCTCAACCTAAATCATGCTGAAAGCAAGCCCCATCAGACTAGCCACAGCTTGAAAATCATTGAACAGGTATTCTTTGAAACGCGTTACCTGAATTGGAACTTTCTCGAATCTCATTTTATCCTACAGAATAATCCACATAAGAACAAAAGGAGTTAATTCATTTTTCCCCATTCTTAAGTCAAATTATTTGGAAAAAGTATGTTATTACTTTAAACAATCTTTAAAGATTGTTTTGAATACACCTGAGCTTGCCTGTTCCACTATTCAAAAAATTGTTGCTGACTTTAGGTTAAAAATGGGAGTTTTCAGCTGAAAAGGTGCTTACCTGAGAGACTCAAAAGGGAGATTATAATGAAAGTTGGAAATTGTTCTAGCAGTAGCATATGCAAGAATTTCAGTGTGAGATCATGTGAAAAGTAATAGTGAGCCAGGAATTAGCTATCCTTAGCAAGCAGAATTATGAGAGACTAGTAAGAGATGAAAGTTAGAAAATGCTAAGTTTTTATTAAAATTTGTATTTTATAAAGTTGGTACCTTCCTTTTGGTATATTTATATCTTTAGTAACCAAATGGATATATTATGTATATATGTCCATATGTCACATTGTAGGCGATCAATTTCTGAGAATAATTCTGTATGGTTATATTCAAGGAAATTTAAAGCTCACTTAGGATCTGAGTTAAAAGTTGCCTTTCTTAAGCTTAAAGCTTGTTACTGACCCGATGCAGCCCATCTAAAAGATCTTGAGTCTTTGCTTTGCTGTAGTCATGCTGCTTTCATTATACTGGCCTTCTCTGAGCCACTTCACCCTACAACTGTGACGTCAGTGAAATGGTGTTTTCTTCTGTAGCTCCAGACTAACCACCTCACATCTGTTCACTTAGTTGACTCATCATCTGTTTTCAGGGTGATCATCTCCAGGGTCCGTGTCTGTTCGTCTCACTCTTTTTTCTTCTGCTTTATTTTTTCCCTCTTGTGCTTGCAAATGGGTTATGTAACTCTAAAATATTTTGGAATGTAGCCTGTATGAAAAATGCTATACAAAGAAATTGCTATTTCAAGGTGTATTACATTTCTGACACACTCGTATCAGGGAATGAATTAGAAATCCATCGTTGGCAAATTCCAGTGAAAAGCAGTATGTTATCACTGTGAAGGGTAAGTATCGAGGCCCTTGTTACTTAATAATTTCATTAACAATGTGGAGAAGACATATCAATGAGTCATGATCAGTGTGACTCTCACAGTAAGTCAAAATATCTTTATTACTATGGCTGATTCCTAAATGTAGCTGTGGTGTATGGTTTGAATATTTTATTCGGATCCTTGCACTGAATTCCACAAAAGATTACTACAGTGCAAACAACAAACGTAACTTGTTAATAATTTATTTCTTTTCTAAAAGAAATAATGTATGAGAAATGATTGCTGTAAGAAGAGCTTGAAAAAACAGTGTAAAATACACCTTGCAAAGGGCCTGAACGTATCGGAAGAATCAGTTTATTGTTAGATGAGATTAACTGCAAATAAAGTGAAATGACACAGCTGGGGGAATAGATTACATTACATGGACACCTCTCCACTTCTTCCAATCAAGAAGTAACGGTTTTGAGATAGACTGATTTGTAATAGAAAGCTGTACATGAGCTGTACATGAACTTGTAATGCAATACTATTGCAAAAATCATTAATACTAATCTAGGGTAAATGTGTGTAAGGATCAAATGTAAAATTTGGGAAGAAGTATTTTCCAGAAATTAAAAGCAACAGCTCCTGGCATATTTCAGTTAGTTCTACTTCCCATACATCATTAAATATGTTAAGCATAAGTTAGGGAAAATTAAGCAGGGGGAAGTGTGGAAGAAAGTATATCTGAGGAAATGTTTGGGAAGCTAAACGTGTATGGATTAGCAAAAAGATGTCAAGAATGGAATATAAATAAAATATGCAAGCTGGAAGTTTAAACAAAAGAAGGGAGCTCTGATTTGAAGAGATACAGGGCAAGGACTAGCAATGGAGAGTTAGCTTTTTGCTAAATATGTATGGAAGTTCCTACATCTAACATAAAGCTTTTGTTTTTACCTGAGTGCTCCCACCTTAACGGCTCACAGCAGAACAATTCCTCAGTTTAAGAGCATCTGAAGGGGGCATGAAAGATGATCTTCAGTGCTAGATACAGGCCAATGGGATGCTCTTCAGGCCCAGATATCGCGAAATAAAACTGTATTATCTATCCGTGGATTTGTTCCAAAATGGTCCCTTTCATCTCTGGCTTGCCTACTTACAGAAATTAATTATTTCTGGGGTAAGAGCCGTGGCAAGGAGAATTCCTAGAGCACACACATTTGGTGAGTAGAGTGACAGGAGAAGCAGGATGCGTGAGCAACCATGGAAAAACAGCAGTTGGTTTTGTGTGAGCTAAAGGAAGGGCTGTGTCATCCCTGCAGAGCTGAGAGGACCTTGAACTTCTCTTTTTGTCCTGTACTGCAGTCACTTGGCCACAGAGGGTCTTGAAACCGTGCAGGTGGTACTTGTCAGTACTCAGTTTGGAGGGCAGGAGTATGCTCAATGAAGGAGAGCCTTCAGAGGGTATGGCTGGGTTATAATCAGTTAGCTTGTTTGTTTATAGCAACGGTGGGGTAGCTAATCACTACATAAGCATGTATGTATTTTAATTTATGTTGTTTCTACAAGTACTCTTTTCAGTTAGCTTCCTTTAGTGCTTTGGCAGCTGTATTGTTCAGTGTTAAACAGATCAAACTAATTTTTCTCACGGTCCTGGCAGCAACGGGTAATTCCTGCTCTCAGCTGTGCTGTTCAAGACCAGTGCCCAAAACTCTGTGATTTTTAACTTGCCCATTTAGAAACAAGAAGTAAGGGAGGTATTCAAGTTCAGCTTGGACGTAACCCTTGGCTGCACAAGCAGCCACAGTTATGAGGAGATCAGGTTCCTGAGGCTCTGCCTTCACCTGCACCACTGCTGGGGTGCTCCCCAGCGCTTCCCCACTGCAGAGGCTGGGAGCCGAAACTGAGCCCTGGCCACATCACCCCCTCCCTCCTCTGGCCAGGGATGCAGCGGCCAATGGACACTGCCATCAGACCCCTCCACGGGTGGAAACGTGTCTTGGGCCACGGACTTTGACACAAGGCTGCCCTTTTATACCTGTTACTCTTGACTGCCCAAATACATATTCTGTATGGGTCAGGATGTTTCTTATGGTTAGCTGAGATCTCTCTAATGTAAACATGAATATATTTGGTAGCTTTGAGAAGAATCGTAACAAAAACAGTGAGAGAGTGGGAGGGCAGAAAAAGGAGTCGCTCGTGCTGGGAGCAGTGACTGCTGCCAAATCTCCCTCCCTATGGCTGTGTGAAACTAGTTGCTGTTTCAGAGCAGGCCCGTTAAAGCTTTCTGACACGAAGCCGCTGTAAAGGGAGGTAGTGTTGAAAAAATGTTAATCTATGTAAGTACGAATTCATCATGCACTTTTCCAGAGAATGGCTGCACAGGGTGTATGGTGTACTAAATACACTGTCCCTGTGCTGCCTTTGAAGGTGCTTTTTAATAACTGAAATTACAAAATTTAGTATGGATTTACAAGACATGCAATGAATGGAGCAAATAACAATATGCTATTCCAGGCCCACGTGACTGCTACATTAGTAGTTCGATAGAAGAGAGGGCACGTGGTTTGCATAAAGCCGAGCAGCCATGATCCCCCTCCCCTGTGAGGGGTCCCAGCGGGCTGGCGCTGGGGGCCTCCTCTTCTTCGTGAATGAGAGCTGAGCTTGCTCAGGGTCAGATCCCCTCAGCTGTGCGTAACATGCCACTGCTTCGTCTTTCCACCCGCTGTATGGGAACAGCTTGTCCATAGGGCACTGGTGGTGGGCGCTTTCCCTGCTCCCACAGCGGCACTGCTGCTGCGCTGGGGCTGGCAGGTGGGTGCTCCGGGGCACTGTGCAGCAGGACAAGACGTTCAGCTTGCACTTGCTGGTTTAAATTTGTTGCTATCAATGTCACCTTGACATCAGTATTGCTAGTTTATGCTTCTGTCTTAATTTTCAGGGTGAAAAGGCCTATAATGTGGGACAGGAGTAAGGTAGTACTCCTCCATCCATAAAGCAGTATTCTAGATGAGTTTTTGTATGAGACCATTTGATGGGGACTATGTCCTTGAGCAATTCATGTAGTCTAAACCAGGGAATACTTGAACTTAAGTAAGCCTTTGAGAAGCTGTTTTCAGTAGGTGGCACATTTCTGAATGATAGAAGCAATAATTTACCTGAATGAGTAAGTATATCGCATCCATTGTTCACTGACTAAATTTTACCCCTCTCCAAAAGTTTCTGTCCTTCAGATGAATTACTGAAAAAATGGAGGAAGTGGTAGTACATACTCAATCATAATAACAATTTGGGTTCTGGTTTTGGCTTAGAGGAAACTGTAAAGGATCACAAATTGTTTTAAAAACCAGTTGACAAAAATAGCACATGAAAACCAGGAGGATAGACTGCTTTCTGTTTGCAGACAAGACATTAACATGTTATGTATTTTCTCTGAAGGAAGTAGAAATTCGAAACAAAGACCTGGAAGGCCAGCTGTCTGATCTAGAGCAACGTCTGGAGAAAAGTCAGAATGAGCAAGAAGCTTTTCGCAATAACTTGAAGACACTTTTAGAAATTCTTGATGGAAAAATATTTGAACTTACAGAGTTACGAGATAACTTGGCCAAGCTAATAGAATGCAGCTAAAGAAAATGGGATTTCAGTGCCAATCAGCTTAAAGATGCACTGTCTCTCTTCATAGGACTTTGTTGGGCTCTGCATCAAAGTTGCACAAAATTAGAAAATGCTCCTCTGAGAGGGCTTGTTTTAAATTTGAGTCGAATTTCAATGTACAATTTAGAACTCAGCTTGTAGCTAGTTGAAGAAAAAAACAACAAACAAAAAACTTGAATTACAAATTACCTCCTTGTACATTATTGGCCATAGATAACTTGAAAGATATTAACAGTAATTGAATACAATCCTTTTCTAATTATCAGTGATGGAAGAATTAGCAGTGTCCCAGGTCACATCCCCTTTTTGTGATAGACACAATATAGGTTACCTGCTGTTTTATTTATTTAAAATATTTAATTGCTGTGTTTTGTGCAAGAACTTAGTGATGACAGCCCTGTATTTTGTTGTTCTTAATAATTTCTCAGGATACTTTGCACTGTGGAGAAGCAGTGCCATTACCAATTTATTCTTGCCAGGAGTGAGAGAGAGTTGCATCTTTAATTGAAACAAAGTTACTATAACTGCTTGTATAAAGTTCTTCCTTTTGGGGTTTTTTTGTTTGGTTGGTTGGTTGTTTTTTGGGTTTTTATATATATATATACTGGAAGATACCGTATTTCTTTATGCAGCTTACTCTGGTGTTCTACAATATTGTCCAATGTAAGGTTTACTTTTTCATATGAATTCCATGTAATTGCGGTGAGATACTATCTTCCACTTAACTATATTTTGAAGCCAACCAATGATGGAAGGTGAGTCCCCCAGAAAAAAAAAAAAAGGCAAAAAAACCCTGAGAATTTTAAATGTAAAATTTGACATGCACAGATAACAAGGAATAGCCAGTCGTTTGTTTTCTGGCCTTGATACATATATCGAATATGTATGTTCAATTAACTGTTAACCTGTTCTGCAGGAGAGTTTTTCAGAATGCCACATGAATTTCAGGTTTTGTGAATAATGGCTTATGGGGAGCACTGTTTTATTACAGATTGCATTAAGGGTATAGAGCTATTGCAATGGATTACTCGTACACTGAGCTTGTCCAGCCAAGAAAGCTGTTTCTAGAAGTTTTGTTGTCATAGCAAATTGAAATGGAGACATGTTTACTCTTTTATGGGTCTTCATATCACATGTTTATTGAAACTACACCAGGCAATATTCTGAACTGTTAACTAAATGTTTAAAAACAGGAAATTGAATTCAATTATCCTCAGTGAGCAGGTTTTAAAGTTGTTTTGATGTAATTTTAACAGACTTTTGGCAAACTCACATTTCTTTATATAATAGATTTATTTAAAAAAAAAAACTCTTTGAAAGGTAAGCCAAGTGTCATGTGTCTTGCATCAAAGTGCATTCTTGCCATAAATTGCTTGTAATGTTGAAGAGGGCTTTTTTAAAATGTATGAATGAGTGTCAGACTTCAGAGTCAAAAGATGCACGGACCTTTGTTTGCTCCCCAAATTAATTTGAATGTTAAACATGAAATCTAGCTGCTTATTAAATTTGTACAACACAATTTTCTCCACTAAGAGATTGCTATTCAAAACTAGAAAAGATAAGTTTGTTTTCATGTGTGTACTGTGTGTATATACCATATAATACACACAGGTTCTCATTTATATTAGAAATACATGCTTTATTTCTAAAATATTGGGTTTTTTCTTTACTAGTGATTTATCAGGTCTGCCCTGACTAGTCAGGAAAATAGTTTAGGTCGAATGCTAAACCGTCATGTATTATACGGTATGTAATGAACACAATGTTTAAGTTTTCTCCATCTTTTTAGGGTATTTTCTCACTTATTTTATTTATTAAAGGGGTGGGGGGAGCTTGGTTCAGCGTGCTAGTAGTTGAAAACTTTGTGGTGAGCTACGTATTTTTCATTCGGTGGATTTTAGATGGTGGTGTGTATTATCTTCATCAGGTCCAGATGAGCAGATACGACCAATTTTTAATTTACTTGGGGATGTTTGGGCCGGGTTCTCCTGTCACTTGAGCTGCTGTAAACCAGAAGTGTCCTTGATGCGATGTCAGCAACATTCAATTGGCATAACATCTGTGGAAGTGCAAGGAGAATCTGGCCTGTTAATGCTCAGTGGACATCATAAGGATGAAGAAAGAATAAAAACACAGAAAGTTGATGATGGAATAAATGTAATATTATTTTTAATGATACTATTATTGACATTTTTAAAGATATGATGTCATTTACATGTGGGAAAATAGTGGACAGAAATATTTCCACTTAAATTTTGTGAATATGTGTGGTACCTGAGTATTTCTATGTATACGTACACACACATATGTATATACAGAACATGGAAAAATTTAGATGTGCACATTTTTAATATTTTCCTATTGAAATTAAATTTAAAATTGGAAATTGATACTTGAGAATTTCTTTTCTCATAGAGTAGATACGCTTCATTTCTTTTTTTTAAATAATAATACAATTACTGAGGGCTGCACCTTTGAATTCCCAAATAGTTGCCAAACATAAATATGGGATAAGGTGGACATACGTGCACATATAAATAAAATCCTATTGCTAAGACTATTTTTAATGTTTAAGTGCAGTAGGTGAGTGTTTAGAAACTGTGACCTAAAGTTCATGCTTAGGTGGCTATACCTACTGTAGCCTCTCCACTTCTGTTTTAAGATCAAAGTTTGCCTGTTTGAAACGTTACTTTCCCAGAGACAGGTATTTATACATTGTATCTATCTGTGATGAAACTATGGGAGTATGTATAACATGGAAACAGCGTTAAGTGCTATAGCCTAAAACATGACCATGAACTTGCACTATAGGAGAGAGCAGTCACATCACGTGTAACTTACTGTATCGAACTACAGTCTTGTTAAAAAAAAAAGGCAAAAAGAATTACCAAAAAACCCAACAGAAATACCCAACAAAAGAAAAGGCAACAACAGTTTTTTTGTTTTGAAATACACTTGCTGTTCTCTGGAGAATGTACTTTTACTCTTTATTTTTTTCTTAAAGCTTTTTCAAGTATGTGCAAGTGACAGCAGCAGCTACCTTAATCTTTCAGGTGCTACTGGATTTTGCATTAGCGTGTTATGTTGTGAAATCCTGACTTTGACATAAAAGATTTTTGTAAGTATTTCCCCGTCTGGATAGTTAGTTTTTGGAGTGTCTTGTTCATAATCCATATGCCTCAATGATCCAGAAATTGCATTTTTCTATGTGGTCAAAGTAAAACGTGTGAATTAATCTGTCTGTTACAGACTGGGAATTTCTTTTCCTGGCTAATATATCCAGGAAAGAAGAGAACAAAATGAACTGATAATGCAGATATGCTGTTATAAGGTCTCTAAGAAAATACATTTTCAGGTAAAATATAAATAAATAAAGGGCTAAACCAGATGTAACACAAATAAGTATCGTTTAATGCTATCAGAGGCATTCCCAGGATAATTCCTTTAAAGAAAACCCTGCAAGAATGAACAATGTGTCAATTAAAGATTAATATTTTGGGACGTGTCTTTTCAGTTGTCAGTTGTGAAAGGTTTCTGGTTTCTGCTCATTTTTCTACCAGTTAGGGATTAACTTCAGGTTTACCTTCGATGAGAGGCTAAACCTCAATTCGTTCTATCATCTTTTATATTCTGTACTGAAGTGGCTACTGAACAGCGCTCTGTGAGCACCGCATTCAAAAGTCAAAATCAAAACCTTTTTCAGAAATACCGCATGGAGAGAGGAATGGAAAACTGTTGCAGACCTTAATTCTCTGCAGAACTGGGGATGTCAGTAAAAGCACTTAATTTGGTTGATTGCAGAAATCTTGGATCTTGAGGCCGAAGATAAATCTGATTAGAGATTAGGTCTGGATGTCAAAAGACAATTAAAAAAAGGACCATCAAGAAATTCTGTCCAAACGCGCGTAGTTCAGTCTTGGTAACTGGACATGCCAGCTAAGTGCACGGCTATACACTGATTTTTTTCAGGAAATGGACCCAATTCTGCAAAGCAATGTTCAAATTGTCTTGTTTACATTTTCTTAGTAATGCTGCATATGTGCACTACCTCTGAATGGTGCTAAGCAGAGAACATATCACGGAATAACAGATATTTTTTAAAATCTCTATTTTTGCTTAGTAGCCTTAGTTCCTTGTTTTACACCACTTACTTCAGATAAGTAGGATTAATTTTCCCCATTATATTAAATGTTTGGGAACAATTAACAGAGTTTTGTGTTAGATCCTGGGAGTCAGTTCAGCTCATGTTCCACTGTTGGGCCGTGCAACGTAGCCAGAAAGCAGGTGCAACTGTTTATGTCACAATACCTGCAATACCTCTAGATACTACAGATAGAAGTGGGTTTCCACACCACGTGGGGTCTCGTAGCTTGCCCGCCACAACCTCTCAGGGACCTGTAGCTGCCAGTACTCCCTCTGCACTGCTGGCAGCTCATCCTAGGACCAAAGAAACACAAGCGTAATTTATACCCACTTTCTCCCTTATTGCCGGGTCTTGCAGAAGCGAAGCTTAGCTGCAGCAATACATCTGGCAGCTTGTGTCATTTTCAGATACAGGCGTGGGAAGGAGGAGTAATCATCAAAGGTGGTTTAGGTTTGGGGCGGGGCGGGGGGGAACGCAGAGTTGTCAAAAAGATTCTCTGACATGGAGCCGATAGCTGTAAAATAGGCAAGCATAGTTTGCATAGCGAAGGACAGACCACCTGAACGGTGCAGCAGCAACAAAAAGTTCATTGGAGAGGATCTTGCTTTCCTTAGGTATTCACATCATGCTAATGTTGAGCACACCTGGCTTGCCCCAAAACTCTGCTCTGATTGCTATAGGATTCTCGAGGTCAGCATTAGGTGTGTGTTTCATGAACACCAAAGTCCTGGCAGTCTGCAAACCCCACATCCTTTCAGTCTTTTATCTTCACAACTCTAGAGGTTTGGTATTGGCATTAGTTATCGGTGGTGGTTGACAACACACCCTATTTTTTCCTGCCATCAGTTCCTATCACCTGTGGTGTTTGTGTAACAAAGTTCTGAGCTGGGTTTTGGGGTTTTTCTTTCTTTTCTTTTAACTTTAAAGTAGTTTCAGACCTTGTCCATCCCTGCTCTGGGGATTCTCATCTGCTCTCATCCAAGTCTCATCTCACTGCATGGATCCAGCAGTGTGTCAGCCGCTTTTGCTTCCACTAGATTGGGAGTAGCAACCTAGAAGTTTTTTTGGAAGAGGACTTGCATTTCTGTGACTGGTAATTCTTGAAGAGGAAGAATTTTGTCCCAGTAGATCAAGAAGGAGGCAGAACCCGGGACCTTCACAAACAATACGTGCATCCAGGTGCTAAGGGGAGAGGAAGAGCTACGCTGACAAGGTATGTTTAAGTATAATCTGCGTGTATGGATTTCCCCCTTTTGAGTTAAATACGGTCGTGCAGATATTTGCAAGCTTAAGATTTTCAGAGAGGGAACAAGACCTTTGAAATTCTCTGAGTCTGGATTGTATTTTGTTAAATGATGATGGGAATTTTCTCTAAACTAAACAAAAGAAATGGGAAGCAAAATGATCTTGTACTTCCCTGCAAGAGAGACATCACAGCCTTTGCCTATGGATGGAAATGTAAAAATTAAATCTACTTTCTGTGCATCTGGATATACTGTTATTTTTATAATTCCAGCAGTGTTGTTTCTCAGGAATCTGCAGCAATGGGAACCAGAAATCTGTATCAGTGAAAGGCACAGCTCTCTCTTTGACTTCTTTTC